TTTATTTTGACAAATCAATTCCACATTTATGGGTGAAGTTTCAGGATCTTCTATTTGTGTATAATAAGGAAAAATTGGCATCTAAATTTCCCCATAACGTAATAGCACACAGCTTGGCATATGAAATATCCTACAAATGAAACAAAGCAAGACAAACCGGTTTCTAATACAAGGATTTATATTGGCTGTTGTACATGTATTCTTTGAACGCAATCACTCTTTGGATAACGTTTTCAAAAGCATTATAAACGGATTACTTTATCTCAAAGACAATTTCAATAAACTGGATTTTACAGAACTCCCCTTATTTCTTAAAAATGGACTGATCCAGTTGATTCGCCTGGAGCCGTCATATTGTTTTTATACGGGATGCTAATCGGAACCCTTTAAGGGTATCGCGTGAATGTAACTTTGATTCCCCGGAATATAAGATAATATTCTAGTTAAAGTTATATATCATGTTAAAGCTGTTTCGATGAAGATTTTAGATCAACTACACTCCGTTCACATTTTTTGCGCGTTCGTTTTTAAAAAAGAGTTTTTTACCCAAACAAAATATCCCATGTTGACACGTTACATTTTGAATTATTTTTCGTCTTTAAACGCTCATAACTCAAACAATATATGACTATTATTCTTATTTTTCGTCTTGATAAAGGTAGATGGAAGTTTTATTTCAAAGGATGAATTTTAGTAAGCGTCCCATATTGTGACGTCATAGAGTCTGAAAAATAGAATCTGTTGACAGCGACCTTTTTTGCTCATTTTTTGGAACCTTCAACTTTTCAGGTGTACATTAAACAAAAAATATGAGATCAATTTTTAATAAATCATACATGATTATTTTGCTCCTAAACTCTAGTTTATTAATAATTAGTTGATTTTGTTCACAAAAGTATGTGTTTTCTGTTGTATGTGGAAAAGTGGAGGACGAAAGGTTTTCAAAATTCATTAAAATAGGGCTAATTTACGCCATTCGCCTATTTTCAAGCTCAGCAACACGTATATTTATTTCACCTAAAATATCAATTGATTCGTGTTTTATGATGCTCCTAGCCCATTAACAATATATATATGATATCAGAGTTATTCGTCTAAAATGTTTTGAGATATAGAGGTAAATGTGGAGGACGAAAGGATTTGCATGTGTGTACATTTTTCTCAAAAACGTCACATTCTATCATGTTAAAAGCGAGGATCCTCTGGATTACGCCACAAAATGTTTAACAATGCGTGCGCGAGCTTTTTGCGACCCGTCATAGATTATTATATTCGATAAATAAAAAATATTCGATAGATTGGGTAAAGGTTTGGTAAATTGTTTGTTTTAATTGGTGTGTATGGAATATTTTAATGTACCGAATAAAGAAGCAGTTTAAACTTTAAACACCATAGTCCCCAGAGTTAGAAGGAGCATTACCCCCAGTTCATTTGAAATTTTGAATAATTGTGAAATTTGATAGTTAAAAATACTTTCAAAGGTTCAAAGGTTAAGGTCAAAATTGTCCTTAACAAAATTCTTTATCATATTTTCACATTTTATATTTTATAAATGATGATTTTGCACACAAGAATATTATGCAGATGTGCACTGACTTGACCTTTACAAGGTCACGATGACCTCAATAACACTTAGGATGCACCTGAACACTATGCCATATTTAACTCTTTACTAAATACAATATTATATGTCATAATGGTTATGAATGCTCTGGGGGCACTTTTTATATACTTATAGTGACGGATCCTTTCAACATGCAATGACAGAGCTATTCAACATTGTTATATTTGCATGAAATTAGTTCCCTGAGATTTTTGAATTTAATTAAGGTTCATTATCGTGTACTATACATTGGGTGCATTAATTTTTTTCTATCAAAAAGCGCCCCCTATTTTGAGCCCCATCTCATATTTCTCAATACCCAATCTTTATTGAATATTTTGAATGGAGTTTCCTTCCATTTTTGTAAATGTTGAACCCAAGAAGTTCATGTCAGTTACTTATTTTTAATATGTGTACCTGCCTCATATCTCCCCCCGAAAAATTCACATAGTTCTGGGACACGCTGTAAATATAAATTAAGTGAAACCATTCTCAAAGTGTTTTATGGACACTTGGAAATTAATGATATGAGGTGTAGTGTGAATTGTAGTGGGTGCTGTTGGATATAATACGTTATTGTGCCCAACATATGACACTAATGAACATGTTTTTGTAAGTTTTTATAACAACTGAACAACCCTATATTACATAGGTGGCGCAACTTTAAATATAAAAATAAAAATAAAATATTGTTTCCTTCTTTGACAAACTTAATGTGTCTTGGTCTTGCATTACCTCAACTGGTGTTGTGGGAAAGTCTTTGCTGGTCTATCCATTTAGCTACCTCTTGGAGGACCCTGTCGTGTCGAAATCTGTATCTTCCGTCACCAAGGGCTTTATGGCAGCTGTTGAGAATATGGTTAAGTGTGGCTGTCTCTTCCTTGCCCCAACATCATCTGGGATTTGATGGAGATGGTAGCAGGTCAGAGAAGGCTCTTAATAAGAAGCTGAGTCTTCTTTTGTCCATGGGCCAGACCAGATGTCCTTTCATTTCAGAGCAGGTTCCCAGTCGGTCCAACTTCCCTGCTTAGCAAAGCTTACAACCTTTAATAGTTTGTCTTCCCCTGCCTTGCCTCGTATCTGTTTCGCAATTTGGGCTCTCATACTCTTGCATGGTCAGCTGATGTGGACCATATTGCCCTAGTCCAAGTCTTCCCTTGCAAACAATTGCAAGCAATCTGTTGGTAACTCAGTCTGTCACTGGGTTCTGCTGCAGCATCCTGTGGTAACCACACTCTTCCGCAAGTAATGCTGTCACCAGTCTTCCGGGCTTTTGGGTCTTGTGATTGCTCTAGAGTCATGACAGTCCTAACTTTGATGGCCTTGAACTCCTCCACAACTGATGTCACTAAAAAGAAGAGTTTGGAAGAAATGCTGTACAGATTAACAGAGCTGAAAGAGGGGGCAAAAAGTAGCTAAATGGAACTACACTGTGAGCAGACGATGAAACGAAAATTTAATTGTACTTAGTCAATGATAGGATGGGTCATTGACATACATCGTAACTTACCGTAATTTATACTCCACCCTAGCACCCCCATTGAAATATGTGTTAAAGCTACCAGTGTTTGTGACTTTATCTACAGAACCTGTGAGAAGTTTGTTACAAACATCTACTAAAAATTAGTAGATGTTTGTAACAAATGTCTCTAAAGTTATGTAAATTGTGTAAAAATTTCAGGTAATTACCTTTGCTTAAGAAAAAGATACAGCGTTTTATGAGAACTTCTGGATCGGCCTTTGTATTAGACAAACGTTATCACTAGTCAAAATTTGATGCAAATCTTTTGTTGGGGAGTGTATGCAAAATAACAATTGAAACTCATTTTATTCCAAATTAAGTACAATTTCGCCATTATAAGTGGCATAGCTTCTGCAATCGGGAGGTGGTCGGTGACCTGCAAAGAGTACAGTTATGTAACGATCTTTAGCCAACGAGGTCATATGATGAAAAAGGGCCGGTCTTAGTAGCTTCATGAAGGAAATGCTGTTCTCAGATAGGTGTAGCCAATTCTCGTGTCATTTTTCAACTAAGCATGAAATTTGATAAAAAAAGACTTGCGCCTGTGGGCCATCTTACATCTTAAATATTGAGGATTATTTTCAGATGTTTTTCAACAAAGGTGTAGGAAAAAGTCCAAAGCTAGTAATAAACCTCATTTAGCCTAAATTGGCCTCGCCTCTTATTTTTTGCCTCGCCTAGTTTTTGAAACTGGTAACGCCCCTGCCATCAAGATATCGAAAAACACTTGTAAATCGCCCTGTTGTGAAATAAAATCCCACATGTTGAGTAGGACTAATGACTATGGTGGTAGAAAGTACAATGAACTTATATCAAATATCTAGTACTGGACGTCGTTTTATTAAAATGTATAGACCATACGCAATTCATTAGTTGAAAAACTGGTAATTTAACAAAATTAATGATAAATTACTGAAATGCAGTTATTCTATAGGGACGACACTTGAAATTTTGATAAATTATGTGATTTGACCATGTGTTGAGGCTAGTTGTATATAACAGATGCAGAATTACTCAATAAGCTGGAACATCATATCAAAGTAGGTTGGTTGATTTTATTTTTTGTTTTTTGAATTATGATCGATTTGATAGCAAGCTGCATTTGACAATATACTGTTAACGTATGGAATTAACAGAAAAACGCCCAAAACATATTGTTACGAAAATTAATTTATCCCATACGTGTTACAGGTACATAAAGGAGGTTTGTATATCTTATATTTCCATCAGCGGGCAGATATAGCTTTACATCCCGCTCCGAGCGGGCAGAATCTGCCCGCTACGTCATAACCGCCGTTCGCATATCGTGGTTCATTTTTGTAACGTTCGCATAACAACCGTAAACGACAATGAAGAAAAACGCAGATCGCGATCTGTTTGATGGTTTAAAGAAGGGGAGGATGAATATCTGATTCAGAAAGAACAGGCAAATCCGGCCACGGCAAAGAAAACAAAACTGGACAATAATGAATATTCTAAAATGTTTCCACGGTTGGTTGGAAATTTTCTGAACTGTGGCCAATTGAAAAATGTGAACCTTATCACCAAGATTGGTATGGGATAAGCAGATCATGGGTTTAGGACGGCCATCTGGCAGATATATTATATTGGCCTCGGGATAATCCCAACCTGGGGTTCGTTTTTCGTACGATCGTAACTTACGATTCCGAGAAATCCATGTGTCTCTGTTTTAAGGAACAATGACTTGCGACCAAATCGTAAGTTACGACGGTTTCAAAAACGGACCCCAGAACCTCATATCTATATATTGAATGCTACTGTAGCACTGAGTTGACTACGAATGTAAATGTAATTACTTTCTAACCATATTTCTTTTTCTGAATACAATTTTTACGTTATATTTTTAGATTCAATATGATTTGGATTGTGTTACTTGCGGTGATACCTATGGCATGGGGTCAAAGGTATATATTAAGTTTTTTTTAGATCGAGGGAACCGTATCTAGCATTATCCCTCTTTTAAATAAACGTTTTGATATCGAAGGTGCCGTATCTAGCATTTATATACCCAATATGTAACACTAATCCTGATTGGTCAATACCTAGTCACGTGTTCCGAAATAGATTTACTATTTCCATCGGAAAGTTATATTCCCTCAAATGTGACGTCAGCGGGAATATACATTTGAACTATTGCCCGCTGACGTCACGATTGCAACTTCTATTACCCTTGGAAACGTCTGCGCATCATCACTGCGCAGACGAAAAACAGAAAAATGGATGATGAGCACAAACACAAATCAACTCCGTTCACCATGACAGACGTGCGTGAACGATACAGTATAAGCAACGTGTATAAAGTTCCCTAAGCTCAATACGTCTGTGTAATTTCAAGTGTTATGATAATCTATTCCGCATGTTAAACGCGATTGAATTTGTCAAGTGAGAGTCTCAGTCGCAAAAATTTCTGTTGAGCATCTGATGACGTCACAGCTTATAATGCTAACAATGAACCCGGGAAGGGGGCTTTCTAAGCCTTTTTGGCCTTCGCAGAGGAAACGGGACAAGAGTCAGCATAGGGTATATAATAAAACAAATAGTGACTGCCTAATTTCGAGCAATAGTGTAAATGATTTCCCCTTGGGAATATCCTCTACAATGTACTATTCCCTCAGCCTGCGGCTTCGGGAATAGTTCATTGTAGAGGATATTCCCTCGGGGAAATAATTTACACTATTGCCCTCAATGGCAGTCACTATTTGTATATTATTACCACCTTGCCGGGCCTGTTCTAGGGGTAATAGTACTAGTTTAGAAGGCATTTATTTAGGCTAAGGAATAAAGAACCATGTATCATTCTATATTGGAAATATAAAAGCATGAGTGTATGTAATAATGCACGAAGGCGAAGCCTTCAGAATGGGTTGGTACATCCACAAATATTTCCAATATAGAACTGGAATGATAGTTATGATACATGATTCTTTATTACAAAATTGTTGTCTTTGAAGAAATCAATTTTTATATCTTTTTGGACAAGTTTATTATCTATAAATACTGAATAGGGGTGTAATGTTACAATTGATATCCGTTTGAAAAATATTGAGAAGGTTTTGTTTGTCAGAATATTAATTTGATGTAATGTAAAACAATATGAAAACTTAGTTGGAAAATCATTGCATTGACTAAAATGAACACAAAGATGATATGCTGTCACCCCTTTTTAAAGAATAGTACTGCTCAGTCCGTGCAGTCCGAAAAATACTGGGCTCGGCCTCGCTCAGTATTTATTTCTCGAATAGGTATTCTGCCATATCCAGCTTCTGATCATCCAATATTTGGATAATATTGCCCTTCGAAATGACGTTATTGTACTACTATACTATCCCTCTTTTTAATAAACGTTTTTATATCGAAGGTGTCGTATTTAGCATTGTCCTTCTTTTTAACATATTAGGCTCTCGCGCCACTGATTTTTTATCAATAATTTAGATCTTTGTTACATGCATTCTAACCCGTATTTCAATTGTTTGGTCTATGTGTAAATAAACGACTGTAGTTATAATGCAATAAATGCAAACAATGTGTAAATGCGTCTCGTTTGTTTCAGCTGCCAGTGCAGTATCTTCCAAGTTCGAAGCAGAGATGCCAACGGTATCCCTGTCGATAAATCGTCCGAACTATGGAGACTTACTGAGACTCCTGCTGGCGGATGTGCCGCGGCAGAAGTTATCAATTGCGAAAATAATTGCATTCAAACCTTCCGAAACTGGAAGGCCAACAACACAATGTATTCTATCGCCCCTGGTGTAAGTTTAGAGCTTCTTGCGTATTATCAAATGATTTGTATCTCATACTCCCTTTATATTCTAACATATTATTTTTACGACCTCAATCATGACTTATGAATGATCAGAATTCACAAGCGGCAAATTGGCAGGATGATACATATTTTCGGTCGACCGCAATTCAAAAATTGAGGGACTTGTGACATTTATATACACATAATACTAATAGTATTCGATAGCAGCCTAGCCATGATATAAAAATGCTAAATATAGTCTATATATACCCAGACCTTGGTGACTCTGAAAGATGAATAGGTATCGCTCTTCTTAAAATGAAATATTTGTCTGATATTTTACATAAACCCTACCCCGATCCTGAATCAAAAATAATCATCGTATAGTTCTTATTCACAGACAAATGGACGCGACTATTGCTCATATTTCTGTATATCCCTGACCCTGAATCAAAATAAAAAATAATCATCGAAGTTCTTATTCACAGACAAATGGACGTGACTATGACTCATATTTCTGTATGTCCCCGACCCTGAATCAAATGAATCATTATAGTTCTTATTCGTCACAGACAAATGGACTTGACTATGGCTCATATTTCTATATGTCCCCGACCCTGAATCAAAATAAAAAATAATCATCGTATAGTTCTTATTCACAGACAGATGGGCCTGACTATGGCTCATATTTTTGTATGTCCCCAACCCTGAATCAAATAATCATTATTTAGTTCTTACTCACAGACAAATGGACGTGACTATGGCTCATATTTCTGTATGTCCCCGACCCTGAATCAAATGAATCATTATAGTTCTTATTCGTCGCAGACAAATGGATGTGACTATGGCTCATATTTCTATATGTCCCCGACCCTGAATCAAAATAAAAAATAATCATCGTATAGTTCTTATTCACAGACAAATGGACGTGACTATGGCTCATATTTCTGTATGTCCCCGACCCTGAATCAAATGAATCATTATAGTTCTTATTCGTCGCAGACAAATGGATGTGACTATGGCTCATATTTATATATGTCCCCGACCCTGAATCAAAATAAAAAATAATCATCGTATAGTTCTTATTCACAGACAAATGGACGTGACTATGGCTCATATTTCTGTATGTCCCCGACCCTGAATCAAATGAATCATTATAGTTCTTATTCGTCGCAGACAAATGGATGTGACTATGGCTCATATTTCTATATGTCCCCGACCCTGAATCAAAATAAAAAATAATCATCGTATAGTTCTTATTCACAGACAAATGGACGTGACTATGGCTCATATTTCTGTATGTCTCCAACCCTGAATCAAATGAATCATTGTTTAGTTCTTATTCACAGACAAATGGACGTGACTATGGCTCATATTTCTGTATGTCCACCGGATCTGTCGTACCCCCTGGCTACCCGCTAGAGGCATTGCATCAGATCGTGTCCTGTTATGATTGGATCAGCTCAACTGAAGTGGATAACCGCCAGAACTTGTGTTGCAATGGTGACACTTGGAACTTCTGGGACTGTCCATATAACGAACCTACAACCGCTGCTCCATTTGACGTTTAACATGACAGATGATGAAAAATTGAAATTTATTATTTGTTAAATTTTGACAATGAAATATAAGTATTTGGTATTTGAACTTATTTTCAATTTGAAATTGGAATTAAAAGTGATTTTCGAAGAAAAATATAGCCTTACCGTTGTTGCAACTCCTAACGTTTTCGCTTTCTGTGATATTCGAAGCTTTTCTCGTTGATTGTATTATCGATTGTTATGAATATATATATGATAGTCCGAAAATCCCATGGGTTGAAAGGGGTTGCAAGGTTATATATCGAATTTTGTATATGTGTAATGTGGATCAAGATATCAGATTTTATCAAATATCTCTTCATAAATTTTAGCTATTCTGCAAAATGATTTTAAATTCTTTTTAAAATTCTTCTTTAATTTTTTGAAACTTTTATTCAAAAACTCTTTTAAATCTCTAATATTTTAAAGAGTTTTTTCATTTTTTCAAAAGTAGCCGTCACTAGCTAGTACCTTGTACCCGTCATTAATACCTAGCGGTCAACAGTATAAAGAAGCGGCCAACAGTGCCAAGCGGCGGTCAACAGTACCTATCGTTGACTTTTAATGAACCAATCAGAATTGAGTATTTCAGCGAATGCTTTATTTTGATTTTGTGGAGACACGGCTGCAGTACGGCATTTGAAATGATGACGCACGGTCGCCTTAGGTCGACCCTATGGCGGCTGCTACTAAGGCAAACGCAAGGCAGCCATATGGGGGGCCGTCCCGGGGAGACTGTACGTTGACGGTACGACGACCGCAAGGCTAGTCTGACCAAAGCCCTACGTCATGACTATTCATTATCATAGTTCTACGTCGATGGTATGTAGTTTTCACGGCGACCTTATGGTCCGTAAAAACTGCAGGGATACACTGATACTCCGTAAGGTGACCACAGATTCTCTACATCGTTTCTTACGGTTGCCGTAGAGAAAATGTGACTGGGTCATTTCATTTCGGCTGCAGTACGGCATTTGAAGTCAGTTGGACGGCACATTGCCTTAACCCATCAGCTTTATGACGTGCACTTCCGCGTGGGACTATATCTTTACAACGGGAATTTCAAGTTTTTGTCAGTGTAGACATAAAAAGTTGCGGTCCTCTTACTCGCGCAGTTTTTAATATTTTCATTTGAAACTTGCAGGAACGGTGCTTTGAATCTAGCTCTCTACTCTTTGAAAACGTCATGTAGAATCATAACAGTTGAACTATTTATTTTTTGTCGTGAAAATATTATTTTTTTAGTTTATTTTTATTTTACAACTTTTTGGGAAAAAATGTAACAAATTTTTATTTCTAGTCATATTTATCCGATATTTTGTCATCATGAAATTCGAGATTCCTTTTAATGATGGTGCAAATTTCATAACAATTGATGAATTTTTATTATCAGTGTTATGTTTTCCAAAAACGATGTACCACTGTGCATGTTTCTTTAATTGACGGCACATTTGCCTTTAATTGGGCGAACGTACAGTTCCCGACGCAATAAGCTTTATTTGATTTAATACACTCAAAAATAAAGTTTGCTATCAAATCAGAATGTTAATAAAATATGAACCTTGCCTTTGTTTTCCCAATTCTAAAAGCAGGCCAAATAAACAATGATAATCGTTTGACTCTCGAGACTACAGAGCTTGAACTTGAACATACTAAAATCGAAGTTACCTATAGTTACGCTTGTAAAGTTAATAATGTTTAACGGCGTGCTGAGTGAATGTATCTAATCAAATCTGTGACATACCCATAAGATCGTAGATCACAATTCTAAGTTTAAAATGTAATTTGGATTCGTAAGAAGTATTTCTGTTTTAAACTTACCTTTGCTGTCTGAAAAAGATCAATATTCATAGACGGGGATGTTGAAACCTTTATTTCCTTTGAATAACCTGCATTTGAACTACGAAATGATCCTGTGGAGAAAAGTTGATGAATTCCAAACAGCTAGTTCTAGCAAATCTACTAGTATAAGCTTACTGTCTAAAAGTATTTCAATGTTAAAAATATCTATTCAAATGTTTCATTTTTAAAATGATCTTGGCTTCCCTTAACTTAAATGTGTGACTAATGAAGAATGCTTTTTACCACATCAAACTTAAGACGTGAACTTGACAATTACTCGATACATGTTATAACGCGATTTTCTTTCATTTTCTACAAAAATGGTATGTTTTCGAATGGTCACTTATGTTAATCTATGACCGTGGTATGATTGAAAATGAAAGAACTGAACCAAGTATTGTCGACTTGTTTGAATTATAAGATTTATTTTGATTGATTTAATCTCTTCTTGAATTTTAAAACTTTTGTCCGAACTACATCTGCTATGGAATAAAGTTCAAATATACCTCAGAATTGCTTATCGAATTAACCTAGCAATTAATTTGAAAATAATTCTTTACATAGGTTATATATCATAGATCATATATATGTAAAAAATAAAAATGTGTTTTGAAAGATGAATTGATAACAAACGTTTTCGCACACGTGCCATTTCCACTTTCAGCACACTTAAAACACGAAATCCCGTATGACGTAATATAACGAAAATGCGCAGATAATTGATATTTCTTATTTTAATTCAACTCACATTGACCGTTCAGTTATGAACGTGTTTAAAGTTCTCATGTTAAAATAAATAAATATGTGGAAAGGCAATGGTTTAAAGCTTATGAAAATGCCAAAATCATAATTCAGTTTTTAAAATAAGATATTGATATGCATTCACGCACATGTGACATTATCTCTTTTTGCGCGATTCAAACATAAGAATCTCATTACAGTTGCAACCAATCTTAGCCCTGCCTTTCTAATAGAAGGACTTAAATTTGAATCCTAAAATAATTCTGTGTAAAGATGATTTCCCATAGATATAATAAATGTGAAAAATGTCAAAAGATTTATCAAAAATTAAAAACTCACACGATTTTAAGCACACATGACCTTTTCCAGTTTTGCTCATTTAATTTACCTTGAAAACCAAGGAGACCGAACGCAATTTCTAAATACAACCTTGATACGTGTACCAGGTCTATAATTGCATTTTCTCATTGAAGGAACCAAGCAAAAATTATAAAAATAATTCTGCGTAGAGGTGATGCTTCACAAATAATATTAATGTCAAAAAATTAATTCATTTCTTCAAAATTAAATACTGACACGCATTTACGCACACATGACCTTTTCCAGTTTTGCATATTTCATTTACCTTGAAAACCAATGAGACTGGACGCAATTGCCAAATACTTCTTTGATACGCGTGCCAGGTCTATAATTGCATTTTCTCATGGAAGGAATCAAGCAAAAATTATAAAAATAATTCTATGTTAAGGTGATGCTTCACAAATAATATTAATGTCAAAGATTAATTCATTTCTTCAAAATTAAATACTGACACGCATTTACGCACACATGACCTTTTCCAGTTTTGCTTATTTTATCTACCTTGAAAACCAATGAGACTGGACGCAATTGCCAAATACTTCTTTGATACGCGTGCCGGGTCTATAATTGCATTTTCTCATGGAAGGAATCAAACAAAAATTATAAAAATAATTCTATGTTAAGGTGATGCTTCACAAATAATATTAATGTCAAAAAATTAATTAAGTTCTTCAAAATTAAATACTGACACGCATTTACGCACACATGACCTTTTCCAGTTTTGCTTATTTCATTTACCTTGAAAACCAATGAGACTGGACGCAATTGCCAAATACTTCTTTGATACGCGTGCCAGGTCTATAATTGCATTTTCTCATGGAAGGAATCAAGCAAAAATTATAAGAATAATTATATGTTAATGTGATGCTTCACAAATAATATTAATGTCAAAACTTTAATTCATTTCTTCAAATCCAAATACTGACACGCTTTTGCGCACACGTGACCTTTTCTTCTTTTGCTCATTTTATTTATCCTAAAAATCAGTGGGCCTAAATACATTGTCCGATACTTCTTTAATACGTGTCAGGTCTAAAATTGCAGTTTATCATGAAAGAAATCGAACAATTATCATAAAAATAATTATGTGTAAAGGTGATGTTCTTCAGATTATATAAACATCAAAATTGTAGTTCATTTATTGAAAATTAAATATCCACATGCTTTTAGGCGCACATAACCTTTTCCCTTTCGTTCATTTTATCTATCTTTAAAATCAGTGAGCCTGAACTCATTGCTAAATACTTTTTGATACGAGTCAGCTCCAGGTCTAAAATTGCATTTCATCATGGAACAAATCGAGCAATCATTATGAAAATAATTCTGTGTAAAGGTGATGTTCCAAAGACAATATATATGTCAATTTGATAATTCAGTTACTCAAAATGAAATATCCACATGATTTTACGCACACATGATAATTTCCTGAATGACGCTACTTTTTGGATTCAACCATGCATATAACGTCGTAAAATACACATTTCTACCGAAATTATGCCCAGCCGTTTTCGTAGAAAATGTAACAAATGAAGGCATTTTATCGGAACTGATTGATATTTGGTACTTATAGAATATTGTATTTACTTTAACTTTTAAGCAATTCAGACATTTAAAAAAATTATGTTTAATCAATGTTAATTTCGCACGAATATAGGGGACAAAATGAGTGAAAGTCTCACGTGTTTGATTGTATTTTACTCCCATTTATATGCATTTTTCAAACATTAAAATGAGATAGTTGGACAGAAGAGATCAGTAGAATTCTATCCGTCACTTTCATTTTCAAATGTTTAAATGTTTCCCGTTTCATTGGACCTCATAAAGATGGTAGCCAACGGACCAGAAACAAGTAGTGCGATGACGTCATATATCGCTACACCACTTTGATATAAAGTTTGGTAAACAACAATGGGTTTTTTCAATGTGCCGTCCTACTGAGTGATGACGCACGGTCGCCTTAGGTCGACCCTATGGCGGCTGCCAGGGGCGGATCTGGGAACCAACAAGGGGGGGGGGCCCAAACTTCTTGTCGGAAAAAAAAATGTCCGCGCTTGCGCGGAAAAAATTTTTAGGCCCCTAAAACCAAAATGTGGGCCCAAATTTTGAAATTTTGAGGCCCATTTTCTTCAAAATTTGGCCTAAAATGAAAAAATAAGGCCTTAGAAGGCCCATTTATGACCAAAAAGGCCCACTTTTTGGGGCCACAAGGCCTTTTTTTGCTCAAAAATTTTTTTGGGCCCAATTTTTTTTTTCTGGGCCCACCCGAGGGGGGGCCCGGGCCCCTGGGCCCCCCCCCCCATATCCGCCAGTGGCTGCTACTAAGGCAGACGCAAGGCAGCCATATGGGGGGCCGTCCCGGGGAGACTGTACGTTGACGGTACGACGACCGTACGGCTAGTCTGACCAAAGCTCAACGTCATGACTATTCAGATTATCATAGTTCTACGTCGACGGTATGTATAAACGTGTTAGTTTTCACGGCGACCATACGGTCCGTAAAAACTACAGGGATACACTGACACTCCGTAATGTTCTCTACAGATTCTCTACATTGTTTTCTACGGTCGCCGTAGAGAAAATGTGACTGGGTCATTTCGTCACGTAGCACAGTATACGCCAGTGACTCACTTCCCCAAATGCTGGCTGTTACGGTTGAAATATTGAATACACCTGCGGACTGCAAGTGATCGTATTTGACTTTTGATACAAACTTTGATTCTTTAAAACCGGCTAATAATGATGCCAATTACTGCCTTTAGTTGTTGCAATGCCGGGGTCATTTCGTCCCGTCACTATACTCCAGTGACTTTATCCCGTTCCCGGACTATGGTCCTGTGAACATCTCAATCTTTTGCCTGTGCGATTACAACATGGGAGAATTTTTTACTGATCTTACACTTCAGATACCTACTTCAATAGATTCCTTGGTAATTTAGCATTCTTTTCGTGTAGTTGAATCCACAATTGTCTGGGTTTATCGGCAGAACGAAGACATTTTCGTTTTTGATCGCAATATTTGCGTGTAACATTTAACTTATTTCAACCGTCAAATTCTTCCATAGGCAAAAATGCCCTAATACGTCACTTCCGCTGAATAGAAAAAAGTAGTATTCAAAAATAAATGTAGTCCCAACACAATTGTGATCATGACGAGTCAGTAAGCTAGGATGTAGGCACAGTTGTAATCTTTTTGCAATGGCAACATGCCATTTCTTCTGAAAATGCGTTTATTTGGGTTATCTGAAGGAAAATTTCGAGTCAAGTGGCGTATTAATTTTGCCTTCATTTTTGTGAATTTCAATTTGTGTCTGCAGAGAGAGGGGGTAGTGTCACAATTGACCAATTATTTCAAAAAGTAGATGATTGGCCCCTATTGAGTTTAGTGTCAAGATGTAGCTTAGACATAGCTTTAGAACCTCAGATAGGCCAGTGAGGCCACATAAATCCATAACTCGAGATAAAAAGTCAGGCGTTTGCCCTTTTGCCCATTGACTAGTATGGTGACGTGAATTAGGGCAGTTTTGCCTATTAGTCACATGTGAAAGTGACCAAAATGTTTTAAAACTACTCAGAATCGCCCAGAATTGAAGTTTATTAGTGTGAAACATATTTTGGACGGAGGCAAAAAGGGGAATTTTCATGAACAAATTTAATGTTTTTGCTGAATCAGCAGTTTTCGCTTTTTACCCCAAAAACCACTGATTTTGACGATATTTGGCTACAATTGTGTCCTTAGTGACCCCTAAATGTCATTTGTTGTCGTAAATGAGGAAGCCAACGAGTTGCTATTCATCATAAAGATTGAATTTTCCATCTTATGGTTTCCAGTATAGAAAGAAGGTACATATCGGGGGTGCAGTCAGAAATTGGTGAGTTAAGTGTCAATTTTTGATGTATTTGTTCACTCTGAATGACTACATTCGAGCTAAAAAATATCTCAAAAGTCCCAATTCTCTAGGCCATAGTCAAAACTGATCAAATTTGTCATCATTTTTCAAATCAGGAGGTTGTTGAATGGAATAAAGTATGAAAAAGTGATGATTTTAGTAAGATTTTGCCAAAAAGTGGGCCAAATTTGTCCAATTTTCTGGTTCACGGTTCAGTGATTTTGGCTAAAAATCGCAATATGCAATAAAATACTCAATTTTTTGACACGATACTGAAAAATGTCACCATCAGGCAGTGGATTTCATGATGTAAATGAAAAACTAGTCAAATTTAAAGGAAACCCATTGGGTTCTTGGAAAAATGACCCCAGGGGTAATGAAGTTGCCATATATTTCATAATTGCTGTCAGAATATTCTTAAACTGCACAAAACTACTTGAAAAACTCTAGTAAATTGGAAAAACGCAATTTAAAGCCAGAAATCATCCAACCATGTGGCTATTAGGCAAAAATGCCCTAATACGTCACTTCCGCTGAATAGAAAAAAGTAGTATTCAAAAATAAATGTAGTCCCAACACAATTGTGATCATGACGAGTCAGTAAGCTAGGATGTAGGCACAGTTGTAATCTTTTTGCAATGGCAACATGCCATTTCTTCTGAAAATGCGTTTATTTGGGTTATCTGAAGGAAAATTTCGAGTCAAGTGGCGTATTAATTTTGCCTTCATTTTTGTGAATTTCAATTTGTGTCTGCAGAGAGAGGGGGTAGTGTCACAATTGACCAATTATTTCAAAAAGTAGATGATTGGCCCCTATTGAGTTTAGTGTCAAGATGTAGCTTAGACATAGCTTTAGAACCTCAGATAGGCCAGTGAGGCCACATAAATCCATAACTCGAGATAAAAAGTCAGGCGTTTGCCCTTTTGCCCATTGACTAGTATGGTGACGTGAATTAGGGCAGTTTTGCCATATTGGTACTTCCGGGCTACATCCGGGACAGCCAAACGGGGGATTCCCCTTTTAAATCCAACCGCCATTTTGAAAAGTGATGGAATCTCTCTCGATGAAAAAGAGAAAATGTTCCCGTTCTGCCGATATACCCAGACAATCGGCGGTTCCAATATATTAGAAGTTACATCTTGAGTTCTAAAATGCATTGAGGTAGGTATCTTAAGTGTAAGGGGCGTAGATAATTCTCCCAAGTTGTAATCGTACAGGCAAATGAATGCGATCAGTGCAGGACTATAGTCCGGGAACGGGATAACAGTGACTCACTTCTCCAAATGCTGGCTGTTACGGTTGAAATATTGAATACACCTGCGGACTGCAAGTGATCGTATTTGACTTTTTACACAAACATTGAAAACCGGCTAATAATGATGCCAATTACTGCCATCACAGTGTAGTTGTTGCAATGCTGCCTGCTTATTGACCAGTTATTAATAAATTAGCCAGTTACGTTAACTACAAAAAAAAGAAACGAAGGTATTGTTATTTCGATCTAAAATATAGCATCATATCAGTTATCAACATCCCGAGTAATCGATCAACATCAGGATTCAAAAGGAGCTGTCTGCATTAGGAAGTTGTTACCTTGACCTGACATCACACGACCCGGAAGTATTCTTAAAGGTACTGAAATTTATATTTAGACACTGAATTTGGATCGTTGTTATTGCTGTTGATATAAGTTCTAGCGTACATTATTCAGTTCATTTAGGAGACAAAATACAATAGAAATATTCACAATTGACACCATATGCTTTGTAGCGTTGTACATTCGAGTAATTTGGTCATTGTTCAGTTTCTTTTCAAACGACATTTTCGTTTTAGGTTTTTGGCTAGCATGCAAACACAGATTTTTCTGTGAGATTGGAAACCTAACATACCGACGATCGATACAAAACCAAGGAACTCTTTGATAACTAGGACATTGTATATGCGCTAGACGTGTGGAGGAACAATGTCTGGACGAGCATCTCCCACTGTACCAGGAGGTAAGATACATGTAGGTCTTATGATAGTGATACTGTAGTCCCAACCATGGGCTTTCAACTACTTGAGTCAACAAGCCATAGCTCATATACACTGGGGGAAAGAACACACGGGGTACTGTAAGTGCAGAAGCAATCCTTATATTAAGGCTATAATCTCAGAACCTATCTGTGTGTCGTGCTTTAAAGTGGTGAATTACATTACTCATAATCATTATGGGATTATGAGATCTTCCGTTTACTGAATCCATATGTGATGCACATTGTCCACGACTGAACAGTTCGGAGATAGAGACTAACAAACTGACACAATTCCGGGTTCGTGGCTCTAGCTATCTGGCTATATTTGCATTATATCTGACCTCTATGTACCCATTCTGATAATTAAAATGTCATATATTTCTGTTTTGCATTTGAACTTTCCAGTCTAGTGGTTTAAGCCACAATGTACACTGTGATATGGTACAGAAAAATGTTCAATAAAACACAAAGATTAAGAATATCACAAGTGCACACCAACAGTTTTACTGAACACAGTATATTCCATTTATGTGTGTTAAAAACTGGAACGTTAAAGTGTATGTTATACATAGATGTAATGTCTAAACTGTTTAAACATGAATCAACTATTTCTATATTATTGATAACATGTTTACCTAAGTTTATCTCGGGCAGTTTTAATTATAGACACGTGTTTATTTAAAGTTCTATCTAGGTTATTTGTAATTGCATCATGGGCTTTCTCTTGAAAGCATGATTAAGTAAAAACTGAGAAGAAAATTTTGTTTACAGAAACCTTCATTTTTAACTGATTGGAAAACTTGGTTTACAAAAACCTTCATTTTTTAACTGAGAAGAAAACTTTGTTTACAGAGACCTTCATTTTTAGCTCACATGGTGAGCTTTTGCAATCACTCACTTGTCCATCTGTCTGTCCGTCCGTCCGTCTGTCCGTCCGTCCGTCAACAATAGTGGCACGTTTTAAATCCTCTGTCGATAGGATTCCTGTTTTAAGTTATTTCTGTTCAACATCAATACAGAAAACTCCCCTATGACTCCTGGTTCAAAAGCTCGCCTATTTTCAAAATGGCCGCCACTTTTGTCTCGCGAAATTCACTTTTGACCCATTTGTTTTAAAACCTCTGTCGATAGGATTCCCGTTTTAAGTTATTTCTGTTCAACATCAATACAGAAAACTCCCCTATGACTCCTGGTTCAAAAGCTCGCCTATTTTCAAAATGGCCGTCACTTTTGTTTGCGAAATTCACTTTTGACCCATTTCCTAGCTTTACAAATAATTTCAGGTGTCCTTCACTGTAAAAATCCATGTCAATGTAAAGGGTAGATATATGTAATAATATTGTTACAAAAAATCAGGGAAAAATTATATCCATTTTTTTATTTTCAGCCATTTTAGTCCAGCTGTCCTGCATTGTAAAAAGCCGTGTCACTGTAAAGAGTAGTTGTATGAAATAATTTTGTTACAAAAAATCGGCAAAATATTATATCTGTTTTTTTATTTTCAGCCATTTTAGTTAACATTGATTTGTCCATCTGTCTCGCGAAATCCTCTTTTGAACCATTTGCTTAAAACCTCTGTCGATAGGATTCCAGTTTCACATTATTTTTGTTCAACATCAATACAAAAAAACTCCCCTATGACTCCTGGTTCAAAAGCTTGCCTGATTTCAAAATGGCTGCCATTTTTGTCTCGCGAAATTCAATTTTGGCCTATTTCCTAGCTTTACAAATAATTTCAGGTGTCTTGCATTGCAAAAAGCTATGTCACTGTAAAGAGAAGTTGTATGAAATAATTTTGTTCCAAATAATTGGCAAAAAATTATATCCGTTTTTTTCTCAGCCATTTTACTTAACATCGATTTGTCCATCTGTCTCTCAGTCAGTCCAAAATAGTGGCAAGTGGCTTGAAATAATTTTGTTACAAAAAATCAGCAAAAATTTATATCCGGTTTTTTCTGTCACCATGTGAGCCCAGTACCCACGGTACTAATTTTATTTAATTTTATGAAAGCAAATGTAGTTGAACTACTCATACGTTTTGCACAATTCCTTTAAAACCTTATTTGTAATATTAAACATGAGAAGATCCTTGTTGATCTTTATGTAAGCTTTTGTTGTTTTTAATCTGATTTCTATTTACATCACATTAAAGGAAAACATTGCTGAGATAAAATATATCAATAGAACGGACATTGATCTTCTGACCATGGGCTTTCAATCTCTTCCCTTGGACCCATCAAATCATGGGCTTTCAAGAAAAGCTCCTGGTCTAATTTCTTCCATTGTAATTTACCGGAACAAAATGTTTTTTTTTATTTTTGCAGATGGAGTTTATGACAAAGAGGAGACATGTAAGATTATACTGTTTGCTGACCATGTCAAGAAAAAAGGATTATTCGGATGGGGAAAGAATAAACCTGATGTCAAGTGCAGCTTTAAAGAATTGTAAGACTTCCAGTATGCTTTCAATAGACCCCAAATCATCATGTAACTGTACAAGTAAAACCATCATTGGGAGTTTAAGCTTGCAATGTTTTTCACAACCTGAACGTGAACGGAAAATATTTAAGCGCTGCATTTGTATCTGCGATAGGTTGGCGTTTCGATTTTTATGCAAGGTTAAACTCCCAGTATTATTACATCTCGATCCATCAAGGTATTACATATGACTTAATGAATACACTCACAGTTATCATAATTAGGCTAGAGTTAAACAATTGCAAGTTAATTTTGAAAATAAACCGGAATGTTTACGAATCTAATATATATAGAGATTATCCTATATGAGGTTCAGGATATTGGGATTACCCCGAGGCCAATATAATATATTTGCCCGAGGGCCGCAGGTCCCGAGGGAAAATATATTATATTGACCAAGGGATAATCCCAATATCCTGAACCGACTATAGGATAATATGTTTATCCCATACCAATCTTGGTCATCTGGTTCACATTGTTCAATCGTGGAAATATTTTAGAATATTCATGTCCAGTTTTGTTTTCTTGGCCGTGGGCGGATTTTTCTGTTCTCTCAAATATTCCCACATCTATTATCTCGAATGTTTTAAGTGGATGCTCCTTCCCTTTTTTAAACCATCAAACAGATCCCGATTGTCTGTGTTTTCTCCATTGTCGTTTACAGTCATTACGCGAACGTTACAAATTATGAACAAATATACGAGCGGCGATTATGACGTAGCGGGCAGATATACTATATCTGCCCGCTCGGAGCGGGACGTAAAGCTATATCTGCCCGCTGATGAAAATATAAGTTTTTACAAACCGGCTTTATGTACCTGTAACACGTCCAAGTATGGGATAAATATATATATTTGTTATCTGTACTGTTTACGTACTGTTTTAGGTCAATTGATGTAAGCATTACAGCAAAAGATGGAGACACATCATATCCATACAAATATATCATCAACAAACTTCCTGGCAGTATCAGTAAAATTGATCATAAGGTACTGTGATTTTGTTTTAAATACACTATAATCCCCTTGATTTTCACTGATCCTGTTCACCATAACAAAAGGATAAAATGTTATGCAAATATAAGGCTGCATAATCATTTGACATGCATTTATCATTTGATAACCTACATGTATATTACTTATTGTGGCCATAACTAAAACTCAATTACATGTAACAAAAATGGCGCCTCTTAATATATATTATTAAAGCCACCTTTGACCGCTGTAGGCGTTGACGCCTGTTAATAAAACTTGTATATCCAAACACTTCTCTTATTCGAATACCCTTTTCTCAGTCCCATATGTTATTTCCCATTGACTCAGATACTTTAGAAACCTTGAATGTGTAAACACTAATCTGAACACTTTTGGCTGGTATCGTTGCTGTTTGACTGAAGCAGGTCATATATGTAGCCAGGAGGGGGTGCGATGGTGCGATCGCATCCCCCCTCCCCATATAACCATTAGATAGACGAAAAAAGGAGCTTTAAAATGCTTTTTATTTTGAGCTTCTAGCTCAATTTCGAAGGAAGTTAGATCAATTTTTGTCAAATTCAAAAAAATCTTAATCTTTTTTTGGTTGCTTATGCCACGATCACACCCCCTGACTGAAAATTTGTTTTGGCGACGGCAACCCCCCCCCCCCCTGACTGATAGTTTTACTGTAAAACCAGGTGGTGACATTTTGAGTTTTGACATGCTGTTGCCTCGTTTCAGATTGTAAAGGATGGCCAAGTCGAGGTGACTCTAACGAAAGAGGAGAAAGGTTCATGGCAGGCAGAAATCGACAGAAATGATGGCTTGGACTGTGCTCCATGATTAGAGAAATCTCAGGAAATTTAGATCTAAGATTCTACAAATTTTTACAATAAAACTATGTCTTGAACAGTATACCATGACTAGAGGAATCTCTTGAAACCGAGATCTGCGATTTACAAACTTTTACAATTAAAACTACAGTATATATCATAATCATTTTATTTCAATAATTATGACAATACTCGCGCATTATATAGGTTTTAGGATGTATAGATCGTATAAGGATATATTAAACTGTGTACATAGATCTTGCATGTGCTGATAAAACAGAGTAACCATGATAATTATAATTAAGTATCCACTTTGTAGTTTGTACATTTTATATTTTGTTTAAAATACAGTGAACATGTACAATATCTAAAATCTATTTACAAGTATTATGTTTTAAACAAAAAATTGGGTAACAGAGTAACCATGATAATTATTATAATTAAGTATCCACTTTGTATTTTGTACATTTTATATTTTGTTTAAAATACAATGAACATATACAATATCTGGAATCTATTTATATATATTCTATATTATGTTCAAAAAGTGTGAGTTTTGAATAAATACAAAGCTGACACGCAGATGTATATTTTACCATCCTCCAAGATCGAGCTTCACTGCTATACCGTGTATACACCAGCTATATGGAATAAAGTGAAATACCTTTGAACTTAAGGATGCATTTTACAGATTGATGAGGGTTTAAGAAATCTCAAACTATAGCCGAATTTGTTCAAGAGGTGATCGCATATACTGTACTGTTGCTCTGCTGAATTGATTCTCGATAAAAATGTTATGTTACATATACATACATGTACTCTTGTGATCTAATACAAGTTTAAAAGTAATAAAACATTGGTTACATGTACATATTTTCATTGAGAAAAAATATTCATTGTTCATTTATTGAGACCCAATCTCAATTGTCATAAATAAGCTTTGGAATGAAAAAATTCTCATTGCTCTGTTGAAAGAAGCGCTTTAGCTTGAACACATTTTCTTCACTAACATTAGGATGAACTCTGTATTTAGTTTTTGTCTGACAACCCCAGTTGAATGGCTGAATGGATGGATTAATACAGTAGTATCCTACATCCTTATTGAAATAAAATGTTTCATTTGTATAGAATTTTTGTAATGTAAGTAGGGTGAAATTACTTTCCTCACAGGGTCACAAACCAGTAGAATCAGCTTCAATGTAGGGTGCATTCTAAATAGGTCATATGGGTCAACCATGTCAAAATATGCAGGCGTTTTCTCTAATACAGTTTCATTTGGGAAATGCTTTTGGGAGTGCTGATTAATTTTCCAGTCAAAGAAATGGGCTTCCTCTTTCGCAGCTCTTATATTTGGATGGATGTTCAAATATGTCTTGAGTGCCCCTGTTCCACACTTCTGGACACCAATGATGATAACTCCCGGAAGTTTTTCAACCCTTTCATCAATGGGAATCTGGCAATATTACGGTTTTTAGAGGAATGTTCACCGGTTGTAAATTCAAGACTGTCTAGGCCTATAGAAGTGATTGGTTTTCTGCCGCTCCATTCTAGTTTCTCTGAAGGCGTTTGGGATTTTAAAACCTTATTCGTTAGTTCAAATATTGGTCGCTCCGTATGTACCGGAGTTTCTAGCGAATTAACTCATGCGCTTTTATTTGAAAGATGAGTCATGACAAAGTATTATCCCTCTAGCACGTGGATGGTCATTTCGAGAACTTCTCAATGGACGCCCATTGGGCATGGCCGAAAACATTCGAGAAAGGGTTTGAAATCGCTTAAAACAGTAATGTCGTAATTTCAGTGGGCTTAAACATTCCAGAGAAGGATTTAAATGGCTTAAAAACAACGTAATATGTACGATAATAAGTGATTACTGTTGTTCAGTTCTTATTGTTTTAGTAATTAAAAATATGACACAATTTGATTGTTGAATTATAGATTATGTTTCAAATCCTATCAGAACAATAGAACTTCAATTAAACTATCACTGTCTCTTCAAATCGCAACAGAACAATATCCAGCAGCTTCATAATCATGATCAATTAAACTAATATTATATTCCTGGCGCACAGTACATGTGGCTTCAATGCTATATCAGTTAAGAACTGGCTTAGGAAAGCTATTTTCCCTCTTAATAAAGGCCAATAGGCGTCTATTTTAAGTTCTTTCAAATAAACGCCCAGTAAGCCTAATCGCGAGAAACTCCGGAATATGAGTAAATGGTGATCAGCCAATTTTGATCACTTTGTGTGTATATGAGGAAAATAGTGTTCAGCAAATATGAGGAACATGGTGTTCAGCCAATATTGGTCACTGTGTGTATATGAAGAACATGGTGTTCAGCTCATATTGGTCACTCTGTGTGTATATGAGGAACATGGTGTTCAGCTCATATTGGTCACTCTGTGTGTATATGAGGAACATGGTGTTCAGCTCATATTGGTCACTCTGTGTGTATATGAGGAACATGGTGTTCAGCTCATATTGGTCACTCTTTGTGTATATGAGGAACATGGTGTTCAGCTCATATTGGTCACTCTGTGTGTATATGAAGAACATGGTGTTCAGCTCATATTGGTCACTCTGTGTGTATATGAGGAACATGGTGTTCAGCTCATATTGGTCACTCTGTGTGTATATGAGAAACATGGTGTTCAGCTCATATTGGTCACTCTGTGTGTATATAAGGAACATGGTGTTCAGCTCATATTGGTCACTCTGTGTCTGTGTGTATATGAGAAACATGATGTTCAGCTCATATTGGCCACTCTGTGTGTATATGAGAAACATGGTGTTCAGCTCATATTGGTCACTCTGTGTGTATATGAGAAACATGGTGTTCAGCTTATATTGGCCTCTCACATAATATTCAGTAACTATTGGTTTAATATTGAATACATTTTCTTCACTAACATTTTTCAATTTTTCTTGCATCAATATGTTCACGCGGTACAAACTTCGACCGTTAATATGAATTTTTGACCTACCAGGTGTTTGAAAATCAAGGATTGCGAGTCTCATACTGCACCGTTTTTCTTCAAACTTGTTCCATTCAAAGCAAAACAAAATTGCCTTTATCTTGGTACATTGCCTGATTGTAAAGAGTCCCTCGTTTTAGCAGCGTTTTGGTCCCCAGTTGTGAGAAGCCCTTCTCACAGCTGGGGACCCAAATGCCGCTGAAAGTAAGGACTCTGTATAGCAGAATAATGAACCAACAGAAAGGCATTTTTGTTCTTCTTTGAATGGAACAAGTTTGAGGAAAAACGGTGCAGTATGAGACTCGCAATCCTTGATTTTAAAACAGCTGGTAGGTCAAAAATTCAAATTAACGGTCGAAGTTAGTACCGCGTGATGTTGTGTTTTGACACACAGTTTACCCCTTAATGGAATAAATGATTCCTTTTAGATAAAGTGGAAAACAATATTTCCCATGTTATTTTCCCCAAAACAAGGGAAAACTCATGGGATCCATTGCTTTCAGCTAATTTTGGTCACCAATAATGAATATCTTTAAAAAACCCTGAAGGAATCACTTATTCCTTTAAAGGGGTCTACTGTGGGTCAAAACGCAATATATTGATGCAACAAAAAGTAGGGGTGGAAGGGGTTGAAAATCAGAACAACATTTCAGAAAAAAAACACGTTGTTTGCATCTTCCCGAAAGTCGAAATTATTTTATCATCTCTAGGAGTGCTTTTCCTGGAGGTTATGCATTGGTCTTACACATGCACCTGTTTAAATCCTTAGAAAATAGTCAAAATCCAACGTACGACTGTCCAAAATCTGTTGGGATACTTTCCCTCGTCCTTTTCTTGTTGAGTAGAATACAAACGCCTCTTAAGACGAGAATTATTCACCAGAGTGCATTATTTTTCTTTTACTCATGTACAGGTCTATGACGAGTTGCCGATAGTCGCCGATGCATATGCTACAAATCTTGTGATGCATCTTAAAAATGTATTTGTGACAAATTCAGTGATCTCCCTAGGATTTTTTGTGGGTGGGTGGGTGCAAAATTCTAATTTTCACAATTCAGACCAAAATTGGTCAAAATATGCAATTTTTCATGATTTTTCTCATTTTCAAGTGGATGCAAATGGATATCCAGGTAGGTGCAAGCCTATTTTCAAAATCGCAGGTGGATGCTGCACCCACTTGGTTGAATGCTGGGGAGATCACTGAAATTACTGCTTTCATGGCCAAGGATAAATCAAGATTCACCAAACAAGATACCCTTTGTAGTTTTAAATAATATTTATTACATTTATTTCAACACAATATAACTGCATGATTTCAGGCATAACTTCAATACCAAGTTTAGATTTTTCTGATTTGGAAGCAATACCAATGGTTATTAATAAAATTTGGAACCACTTCAATATGATGTAATATATGAACGCCATTTTAAGTTATATTGTACATTCTTTATCAGCAACCACTAATCCTTATGCACTTAACAGTTTAGTAATTAAATTTTTTGAATGTCTCTGACTTAAATTTGGTCAATAACTCAGATGCAAATAGGTAGTTTCCAATTTCACCACCAGGTGGCTCTTTTGGGTCAGATAGCATGGCGGGTATAGAAGAAAGTTCCCTTTAACTTAAATATTTATCTGTTTTAGTGGTTCGATTTTCATATCACCCTTATGTATCACAAAGTTATGCAAATTAAAATATGTGCAGTAAAAGAAAATGTTACCTGTCCAATACAAGAAGATATATTTCACTTTTTGAGATTTTATAACATGGGTTCTATGGATAATCTCCCGAACTAGAAGTCACATTTTCAAAAAAATTAAATTTTCAAAGTTGATAAACAATTTTCGAAACCATATTTCAAGATGTACTTCTACATGTAGATTTCAAATATGACATCACTTTGACTGAACTTTGAATATTCAATGATGTCAATTAAGATTTTTTCTACTCATATCTAGTCTATTACAAATAGAATTATTCCATACAACTGTTTACATACTAGCTTACATTCACAGTTTACAAAATGGCACAGTTTAAAGAAGAAACAATTTTCATAATAGTTTTCAACTCAAATCAATGTACAGGTACAGTAGCCTATCATTAATATAACAATTCACCAGCGTTTATTGAACAAACAGCTTTGAGCAACCATATTTGACATAAGAGGCCATGCAAACTAGTCATTTGGTTCACATAATTAAAAAAAAAATCAACGTTGTGAACCATACAGACATATTTTGGCCTAACTTCACAGAAACTCATAGACAACATATTAGGAAGAAATGTATTGCACCTTTTCGTCACAGATTGCTAAAAGGGCTGTTCAAAAATATCCTCCATTATGTGACTGAATGTAACGTGATGTTTTTAAACAGCCTAGTAGATCATATCATCAGTTTATCATCAGAATGTGTATACAGTTTCTCTAACAGTCTAAGAGAAAGAACTGCCTTTTAAGGCATTTCCTGCATATCAGTTTCCACTATGTTCACACCAAGACATATATAGACTATGACTTTCCTTATTTGATATGCGAAATTGTCGCCATGGGAACTTGTGACAAATTTATGACTAGACCATAACAGACATTTTCTCTACAAAAATATTCATTGTACTGTGAGACATGTAGAAAAAATATACAATAATATGTACAATATAAAACAATGAATCTTGAAAAGAAAAATAAAGCACTTATTGTAATTGTATATATATGTACCTCTAAAAGTGATAATCCAGATATGTTTTTTCTGATACATCAATTTTTGGAAATCTACAAATTGATTTGTTTTTTGGAATGAACATTTTTGCTATAAATAATAATAACAAATAATTTTATACAAATATTAATCGTATATTAATAATGGGCTGCCTTTGTTCCATAAAGGGAAAAATCCAATAAGAATATAACAAAAACTCTCAGACTTTGGCCATCTCAATGTTTCCAGGGTTAATTAATCATTAAATATCAAATACACAAAATTCTGCATGAAATGCATGCAATGAATCTTTGTATGCATTGAATATTCTTGAAGAAAAAAATATTGATCGAAGTCACAATTTGTCTGGGACAGAGGTAGTCCGTAACATTAGCATCACATAATAATTTCATCTATAATCTTTAGGCCTATGAAAACTAGCAAAAGTATTCATTCCAAAGTATTACAAACAAAGGAATCCACAATACCAATGATCAAAGGAGATAACTACACTGATACATACTTGGGGAAAGTATATTCGTTACAGGAATCAAAAATTGACTCCAGCACTGGACAACAATGGGAGGAACCAATATTACAACACATGACATATTACTTTTAAAAACAGATTTGCATTGATGACTTTATGAAATTGATTTACTGGGGTTTTATTATTTTTATATGTGCGGTTAATGTATTTTTAGAATGATTTACTTTGGTTCAGATCCATCCTCTGACCTCAGGGCTCCAAAATCCAGAATGAAGTTCGGATTCTGGACACCTGCTTCGGGGGATGGTTCAGGTCAAAGAGATAAAATGTCACTTTCATTGAATGCATTATATAACTGATTTATAATTGCTTTGAAACTTCAATGACTGTGCAGACATGCTCTCAGATGTCAATTTTACTCCACTGACAAGTCCCTTTTATTAAATAATTTTTTTTCCATTATATTACAACACAACCTCCTCAATGTCATCCACATCAAAACTGTCAATTGCATTAACAGCTGGTTTAGAGTCTAGCACATTAGCTTGCTGCCGGGGGCGATTTAAGGCGGTAGAATTGTTTTTAGAGTTAGACACGGCCACATTTTTCTCCCATGGATAATTGTTCTGGGTCACAGGCTTAGCTTTTGTTGATGATGCAAAAATGTCCTCATCTCCTAACGTATTTCTACTTTTTGTTTCATTACCAAACAAATCACCTAAGAGATCATTCTTCTTTTTATGGTTTCTGTTTGCAGATGATTTAGGGGAATTACTCCCAAATACAAAGCCATTTCTATTTTTAGCTGATGAACTCGGGGAATCATCGTCAAATAAAGAATTCTTTTTGGATTTATTGTCTGTGGCACCACGACGACCAAATGATGGCTGATATCCACCATCTAAGTCGTCATTATCGTCATCATCAAACAAACTTAGCTTTTTCTTTTGTTCCTTTTTCTGTTTTTCCAAATATGGCACTTTGACATCCTCGTAAGCAGATTTCCCAGAATGTAAATTCTCTATTGGTTTACTGAAGGTCCACTCTTTATCTTGCTTACGTCGACTGGCAGGTGACAAATCTGCCCCATTGTGCCCATCTGTGTTATCAATTTGTTTCATTTTAGCTAATAACAAGTCCTTTTGTTTGCGTCTTTCATCCTCTTTGTGTCTGTTCTCCCTCTCCCATCTTTCTTTTTCTTCTCTCTCCCTTCGTTCAGTCGCCTCACGATCACGTCGTTGTTGGTCTTCACGTTCACGACGTTCTCTCTCTTCATGTTCAAACTGTAATCTAGCTTCTTTTTCACGTTCTTCACGCTCTCTTTCAGCTGCTGCTCTTTCAAGCTCAGCCTCTCGTTTGAATCTATCTTGTTCTGCTTTTTCCCGATCTTGCCTCAACTGTTCTTGTTCCCTAGCTACTCTTTCTTTTCTCTCGCGCTCCTCTCTCTCTCGTTCTTCCCTCTCTCTGCGGTTTTTCTCCTCCTGTTCATGTTTATTTTTATCATTTGGCTTGGCACCCATTATCATTTTTTCGAAAAATGTAGAGTCACTATCAGCTTTTAAAAGTTTAAGATTTTTCTTGGCCTCTTCTTCCTCTTTGCGTATTCGCTCCTCTTGGAGTTTTTTCTGACGTCCCTTTTCTGCTTGTTCTTTCCTCCGCCTTTCAGCCTCTTGTTCTTGTCTCCTTGCTTCATCCTCCTCTCTCTGCCGCTTCTCCCTCTCCTGGAAAAACAAACATGACGATGGTTACTGAACAAAATATGCATACAGTTAAACATGTGCAAGTTGAACACATGTGGTGCCTCAAAATATGTTCCACTTAGAGTATTCCACTTACAGAGGTTTAGTTTACAGTTAATCTTCAATTGGGTAAACAGGACTTCGAAAAGTGAATGACCACAAATATATTTCATGATTGGGCATGCTGCAAAAGCAATCAAATTATTCGAAAAAATGTTTTGTCTTTGAGTTCAGTTTATCCTGACATTTTCTATTAAAACTGGCAAATGGTTCGATGCAAACGTAGGAGGAAGATATCAGGAAAAAACACAAATCATAAGGAGAAATTTGTCATTTCAATTACCAACAATATGTACTGGCAAAAATCAATTTGATGAAAATTTAAGAAAATCAATCAAAATTACATTTTCAGTGGATAATGGAATGAAAAACCCATCAACATTAGCCCAAAAAACATTCAGTAAAACCAACAAAGAAAAAAGAAGTCAGCTTCATTAAAGTCAAAATATCAAACTAAGACCAAAACACTCAAGGATGTGAATCTAAATGGTTTCTAATCATGCTAAATTAATTTATCATAATTGCTTTGAATAAATTTTAAAATGTTATCCAATGTGATATGTGCAATTTTTATCAACTAAGATGGTACAACACAACAAAAACAATTCTATTTACTATCATGTTAGTCTGAAATCCAAAATTCCTGAAAATGGAAAAAAATGTTAGATTTAAATGTAATACTAATCACTCATTTATGTGCCATTTTCACCACAACCAACCTTGAAACATGAATTTGTGTCAAATGTCCAAAACCCTAAAAATCAGAGCACACCACGAGGTTTATAATCTACATGTGCAAAATGCTTCCTGTGCTTCAAAACTCTCCTTGGTTGCCATTTCTATCTTAGATTTCAACGAATTCCACCTAATTTTCTAACAATACAATTAACAGAGTACTAATATTTGACAATCTAGAGAGTTTATCCACAGTTACAAATCTAGAGTAAAACACCTTCTCCGGGTTAGTCTCACCTAGGGTTAAGAAGTAAATTCTACATTAATGTTATTAATAAAACTAAAATGGTTCTACTTCTAAAAAATTCCCAATAAACTATCTTGCATTATGTCTCTGCCACCCCCACCATCAACCCGCTGCCTGTTCTCATAGTATTTTAGAGGATGAAGGGGACACAGGGACTTGATACAAGACTGGCTAAAACAAAGGAATTTTCTAGAAGGGGACACTGATTAAGACATGTATATTCCACTCAAAGAAGCAACAATGCCACTCCCGGCCCAAAATATTTTTTGTGCCACTTACATTTCCCAAGGAGAATGTGTCATAACGTTTTGGTTTATTTTCATCTGAGCCTTTATATTTTATGTGGTGTAATTTTGGTTTATAGGATAAAGCATCTGAATTGTAGTAATTGTAATCATCTTTATCGTCATAGCGACTGCTATTGCGGTTGTCATAGCAATCATTACTGTCAATATCATCTAATGAATCCTTGCTGTAAGTAGTGGTATTTGATGGCTTATACGTTTCAAACTTAAAACTAGGCCTGTAATTTGTGATCCTATCCTCTTGATGCTCTCTTAGAGGGCTTATGCTTCTTGGACTAATTTTCTCAGGTATTTTGGTCCGTGGGGATTTTGTTTTATTAGCTTTGAGTCGACTCTAAAAATCAAGAAGTAACAAGTAATGACTTGAGGAAATAATGAATTATTCATACACTCATGAGTCTTGGAGCAAAAGTTTACAATGATTCCTTGTATAAAGCAGTTGATTAAGTTCTAATAATGGCATGCACGCCACAAGAGACCAATAGGCTTGAGAGACCAAGAACTTGTTACCATGGTTGCCAGGCAAACGAGAATGGAAGATGATTAACTAATCCACCATTTCAGCCATGTAGGGTATTTCAATTTTTTTACAAAAACTGTATTTATTTCATTCTATCCTTATTTTAGTTAATAACGATTAATATTGTGGAAACATGCCACATTTGCGTACACCTCTCAAGCATACACTTCTCACGGCCTGAACCTATTTGTCCAATTAGACTATCCAAAAGGAAAACAGTTTCAGTTGTTTCTCAACTCTACAAAGGTATCATGCATCTAATATATCAAGCAAATGTAAAATATCAATATGTCAATATTCATGCTTACTCCACTCTTCTCTGATTCGCTGGCACTTTGCATGTTATGGTTAATTTAACTTCTTTTACTGATTTCCGATATTATTTGGTAAAATCAATATCCACAATAGAAAACATCTGGTAAATAACATATTTTTAATATTGCTAGGAATATTTTGTCTAAAACCTCAAGCATGTAGCTAACAGTCTAAATTCTAAAGAAAGGTAGCAAGAAAACTTAGAGAGAAACGGCATGGAATAAGCATGAACATAGATAAATATTCTTAGCACTGATCACAAACAATCAACAAATCAACAACACATTTATTATAATTACCTCTCGTTCTTTTTTCTCCTTTTCCCTTCGCTCATTATCCAACTGTTTTGCCAACTCCCTTGGTGTTAACCTTGGAGGTGAAGAACTCCTACGGCGCTTTTTCTCAACCTTTGGCGGTGTCGGTGTTGGTGACGACAAGGAAGATTCAAAACCTGAGAGACGATGAGGGGGTTTCCTATTGCTGTAGATGTTCTTTATGTCCAAGGCTTTTTCTTTCTCCTACAAACATAACAAATATATCGAGATTTGTTACTTAAAATTACGGTGAGAGCATGTGAATCAATAGCTGTACAATTATGTATATGTAATTATTCTAAATTTTCTTTTAGGTACAACCTCAAAAACAATATTGGATAACTCAATAACTGAGACTCTGGGCTTCATTTTTGGTACAATTGTAACTCACTTAGTCCCTTCCAATTCAAAGAAAACCATTGTCTACTCTTTGACAAGCTATGACTTGAGATCAGGTCATAAGTTACGCCTTTTCCAGATATGCAGCCTTTGGTATTAAAACATATGGTTGTACAAAGTCTTGGAATATAGTTAAACCTGTTAAGTGGAACACCTCTAGAAGTGAAACACCTCTGTTAGAGGAACACTTCCTACACTCCCAATTTAATGTTAAATGAACCTCTATAAGTGAAACACCTCCAAAGTGGAACAATTTTTAGAGGTATCAAAGGTGTTCCACTTAAACAGGTTTAACTGTAGTTACAACATACCTTCAGTTGAATCTCCAGTCTTTGGATGCGATCTGTCAATTCTTCAACACTTTTATCAGAGTCTTTATTTTTCGCCATTTCTTGAGCAAGTTCTCGTCTGTGATTCTTCTCTAAGTAATGGAGATGTTTCTCCAAATCCTAAAAATAAATAATTCATGTCTATAACTCAAAAACTATTAACTGTATTTTTTTTGACTGTTGAACAGAAGTTGGGTTTGGCTGATAAGAAAATTAGATTCTGGGAAGAATTTTGAACTCCTGTCCAAGGATCGAATTTAGTGTTAAGATAAACTATGTGAATACCTTGAATAACTTTGTTACATTCCTTTTGATATCAGCAGGTTAACACTTTCATTAGATAGATTATAGTACAATCATAACTAGAAACATTCATTTATTTCTGCTATGCATACTGCTATATAGCAATAGCATATTATAAAATTGAAAACCAACTAATTACTTACCTTAACTCGTTTCACTTTCTCTTCCAACTCCAGCTCAGTTTTGGCTAGCTGTCTATTCAGGTCATCACGTTCGCCTAAACTTCTGTCGTGCACAATATTATCCAATTTTTTCAAACGTTTTTGCAACTTAAATATTTCTTCATCTTTGTCTTTGATTTTTCTCTGATTGCTTTCTGCCCGTTGTTTTTGCCGTCGAACTTGTTCCCGAAGCGCTCGTACTTCTTCCGAATGACTGTGAAGAACTTCAGAGAAGGAATTGTCCTGTGATTCATACTTATTTATTGCTTTATCCTGAAGAAAATGCTGCCGTTTAAGAAGACGATTTTCTTGTCTAATCTCCTCTAGTTGAGTTTCGAGGTCAGCCTTTTCATTGATGATTTGTTTAAGACGTCCTTGTTTCGCTGACATCATTCTTTGTTTTATTTGGGTCCCACCCCTTGGCGTGGTGGGGTTACCTCTTGGGGTCAATTTCTTGCCACCTTTCGCATTGCTTTTCAGTGGATTCTTTTTGTCTGAAGACATAACAATAAAACAATGTGAGATAACAAGTAACAGTGTTTGGTTTTTCTTTGAACAGGTGACATTTATCATTGGATAAGTGTATTGTTTGCAGATAAAAATTCACATTTTGAAACACTTAACTTCTCGTATCAAGTCAAACACAGATAAAGAAAAACATACTGGATTTTAATTATAACATCATCCGTACTTTGAACAGAAGCAAAAAATAATATTGGAAGCGATCTAAGCAAACCATTGTGTTATATGGACACAACAGGCTTCAGCTAAAAAACAAAAGGAAATAACACATCCCCATTGACTAACATGCAACTACAGTACATATGTCTCTATTCAATGAAAACACCCAATTATAGTGTCCCTTTTTCATTTATGGGATATTACGCCTTTAAAAACAAACTGCCCCATTGAAATGAACATCAATCCTATATTATGTTTGCTGAATGAAAATACACTTATGGCAACATACAAATAACACAAATTCTCTCTGAAATCAACAAAGGCAATATTAAGAAAACATATAGTCAAATAGGATATTCAGCCATAAATATAGGTTTGACATATACGGTACTTACACCTATTTACATTCATTTGGCAGCGGCAACAATGACCTAACAACTTTCGTTTTAGTGGCCTCCAAGAGATCACTTTAGTTGGAAGCCAATAAATATACTGGTATGAGAATTTCTTATGCACCATTGTATTGCTCTGTATACACATTGGCTAAATCCACCTTTCTACTAAATGTAAAATGAGCCGATCAACATTTTTATAGATAGCCCGCATAACTTATCATCTATAACATTAGCTAATCCACTTTTTATCATATATTAACATTAGCTAATCCACTTTTTACCATCATAGATAACATTAGCTAATCCAAATTATTTATCATCTATAACATCAGTTAATCCATCTTATTCATTCTCTATGACATTAGCTTATCTATATTACTCTTAATCTATGACTTTTGCCTAGATATGCAGGAGTAAATATACAAAATAATCCTCAATTTGTAATTTCTCCTTATTCTTGATAACACATCTGTTTTTCAATAATGGTTTAATCATCATATGTTGCCTCATATATACAAATAGCATAGTTGTCTAATATTCTCTTCGATCATTACATATTGTATATTGCTTGAGTTTCCATGGTAACCAAATTGACTGTGAATGTCACACTGAGAACAAATCACATCATATCATTTTTGTACAATATTAATATTTCCAAAATACGGTATTGCAAGTTTGTATCATATTATAACTGAGTAAGTTTTATGTAATTTGAACTGGACTTATATTCAAATGAACTCATTCTTAAAATGTTGTTAGGATCATAATTGTTTCATACCATTTCCCCTAAAATCTGAATTAATATGTTTTAGATCTTTCACAATTCTAAACAATCAAGAATTTCAACTAATGTACATGTCAACTGACTTCATTTCTTGTATATTTCAAATCTTTCCAACTTAATTTCTTTTTTTTAAGTGACCAATATTGCACTTTGTCTAAGGGTAGTTTGTATCCAGAGACAATGTTCATGATCAACATGAGGATTTTAATGTCATGCAACTTCACAGTTCTTTATCAATTAGAACAACAAAAAACATAGCTGTGGGCATTCTAAATGCTTTGATTGATGACAAATGACATGTTGAAAATAACAATTTCAAATCCAATGCTACATACAATTACATTACAAACCAATCCTTCATCTGAAAAATGTATACAGGGTGGTCCAAAAAAAGTGAACCCCTGCAACAGGCTATATTTTCCTAATTCATGCATGAATTTGCTCATATTATCACATCTTGTAGAGAAAGGTCTAAAATTTTTGTTGACACCATAATTTATTCTCAGTCTTGAATTTCGAGAGAAATTACAAGACTTAAACAAACATGCCTCAAATTAGATTTTGTGTAAAATTTACCAATGTGATTGACGGAAATTGTTGATACATATTAGATGATCTTAAAAAAACTTTCAGTTAGAGATTAAAAGTTTAAACCCTACCATATGACAAATGGGACACTATTTGAGCAGAAAACATGTTTCATACTTTTATTGACCATTTTAAAGCTGTTTTAACCATTCAACAGTTTAGAGGCATGTTACCTACACAAACAGGTAGAGGGGGGCAAAGTTACCCCTTGTGACCCCAAATCTGAGAAGCCCTTCATATAAAATCTTACAAAAATCAAAAGGAAATCTAATATTCAGTGTTTTGAGCCATATTTCATTAGAATTGGTCCATAATTAATGAAGATATTGACATTTTAAGACCATATAGGGTTATGTTGTGCTTTCACTGGGTGCTTTTACTGTTCTCGTCTTTGGAAACATTGAACATTTCTTTTGATCAAAATAACTTTGCAACTAACAGAGGTAGGATGCTAATTTTTACATCATATTGTGTGGGATTCAAACCCAAACAAAGTCAGAAAACATTAGGTTTCCCAGACTCTGGCTTAAAAGATTTCCATGGGAAGATTGTTGAAGGGTTGAAGAATCACAGATATTGAAGTTCACATTTTACCTTTTTTCAGTGATGTTTCCTTAGGGCTTATAATTTCTGCAAATTTCAATACTAAGAAAAATGTATAGTACCAACAAAAATTTTCTAAACTTCCTCTACAACATGTAAAACTATGAAAGGATTCCTGCAGGTAATAAGGGAAATATAGCTGATTGCAAGGGTTCACTTTTTTTGGACCACCCTGTATAATGAGCTATCTGGGAATAAACAGATAACGATGGATAATGTCTTAATTCATCCACAGAAGTAAAACAAATAAGTCGATTTCAGACTTTGTTAGGATTTTTTTTGTGATATGTTACGACTCATTAAAAGAACCCTCTCTATTCATCAACTTGCATGTAAAGTGAAAGGTTTAAATTATTCATGGTATATTCTCCAACACAAATGACAAGAAATAAGAGGGGTAAGAAACCCAGTCACATAGCAGGCCATAGTTGCTATATGATGGTTTCAAAAACTGCTGAATTAACTTTCAAGAAAAAAAAATTATCAAAAAATAATTTATATTTTGCTAAATCTTTCCCCTTGGTAGACTTAACAGAGGTAAAAGCAATATTGCTTTAAATTGTCTTCATTTTTCATGAAACTGATCTTCATTTTGTGATTATCATGAAATATAGATACTGACTTAACAGAACTTTTAAAAATAAAGCAAAATTGTAAAAATAAATCAAAGAAATATTTCTAGTTCTGCAATATATCTTTGTAGTTGTTACCTCTAATGATTGAAAACATATGAAAGTTTACAATTACTGATATTTTTTTACATTTGCTTACTTAAAGTCTGGACCACTTATAACTTTTTCAAGAAATTTTAATTTTGTACCTGTTCTTGGTGAAAAGGCATAATCATCATACCCAAGGTAACTTTTGAAAGATAACGCAACACTCTGCATAGCTCTAGATTGAGATGTCATATTACTCTCAATAGGTCTTGACTGTGATGTCATATTACTCTCAAAATGTCTCGATTGATTCTTTGTCCCTTTTGTTTGAAAAGGCCTACTACGCCTTTGTTTAAGATCATTTGTCTGATGAGTTGACATTGAGGATTGTTTTGATTTCTTGCCAATGATTTTGTTTCTTGTCTTTGGTTGCTTATTCTGTAGATTGTCATTCTTTCTCGGAACCTTTTTTGACTTTTTTGTTGTTCTTTGGACCCGTTCTTTCAGAATTTGAAGCTCTTCTTCAGTTTCAGAGATAAAATCGTCAGAATATTCATAATCACCTTCCTGCTTTTGATTGGATGGTTCAAGACCCCCTCGTATATTTCCTAGGTACACAACTGCCATTTTAAAATTAGTGTTGTTTCAAGTTAAAAATTGACAGTTTTGTATCTTGCAGTCAAGTTTCTATAAAAGCATCATTTCTGCCTTATGTTTTTCATACTAGCATCAACAAGTCAAATCTTTACTCATCCTCATTGATATAATCGAATGAGTTTGTACATGACAGTGTACATTGTATTATATATGAAGGTTAACTAATAATACAGGTAACTAAAACAATCAGAAACAATTTCCTTCTTGATTTTACTGTACAATCAGGGTACAATGATTTCATGTACTATAGTTCCATAGGGACAAATGATCCCATTATTATTTGTATATTATGATTCAAAGTATTCTGTGGCTATACTCCCAATATACAGCAAGTGTTTGGAATTTCTGTATCAGTTGTGTAATGCTGTATCATCTCAATAACACTTATTTTTATATTTTTATGGTATTATCAGATGTATTTCTCCAGTCATGGAATCTCCTTTAAAGAAATGGTTTTCAAGATAGACAGCTGCATGATTCTCCAGATGTCTAGATCTGTATTTGAGAATGTTGTAATCATATTCATTCACCTCTCCTGAGGTAATGAACGATACTCTAACCAATCATCCCTATAGCCTGGTAATGAGGTTGTTTTGATTCCTAATACTTCTGCTATAGCTATCAATTAATGATTTTTTGTATAATCTCAGACATATTCTTCTCAGAGAATCCTCCTCAAATACCATATGTTTACAGTATCTATTTATTTTTGGTATGACTCATTAGTCTCGTTGTCAAGCTAATTTTTTCTCATTGAAACACTGTTTCTTCTAAAACTGGCAAAATAACAAGCAGCTAGAATCTCCACTGACAATACAGGGAATTAATAATACATACCTAGATCACTATTTATTATCTCTTCACTCCTGGGAAATACCAGATTTCATCCATATTTTCACCCATTCATGAAATTAGGGGTGGTAACTTGAGAATTCTTGAGTAAATATGGTTTCTATCTCCCATGTTTTTTTATTTGAATTGGTAGCTTCATGTATATCATTTTCGTGAATTCTCAAAAAATCTAGAAAAAGTGGTATCTACATGAAAGGGTAAAAAATGCAATTGATGATATTACATTAGCGACAATTACTAATATGTATAAATGTATCATACAGTGAATCTAAGAA